TAATTTAAGCCATTTTAGAATAAGGCTGTAACGTAAAAAAAATGTGGAAAAAGTCAAGGGGTCTGAATACTTTCCGAATGCATGTCCTTTGCATTTACTTCTAGCGCAACCCCAGAAATCAAATCAAATCAATTTTTATTGGCCACATGCGCCGAATACAACAGGTGCAGACATTACAGTGAAATGCTTACTTACAGCCCTTAACCAACAGTGCATTTATTTTTAATAAAAAAAAAAAGTAGAATAAAACAACAAAAAAGTGTTGAGAAAAAAAGAGCAGAAATAAAATAACAATAGGGAGGCTATATATACAGGGGGGTACCGGTGCAGAGTCAATGTGCGGGGGCACCGGCTAGTTGAGGTAGTTGAAGTAATATGTACATGTGGGTAGAGTTAAAGTGACTATGCATAAATAATTAACAGAGTAGCAGCAGCGTAAAAGGATGGGGTGGTGGGGCAGTGTAAATAGTCCGGGTAGCCATGATTAGCTGTTCAGGAGTCTTATGGCTTGGGGGTAGAAGCTGTTGAGAAGTCTTTTGGACCTAGACTTGGCACTCCGGTACCGCTTGCCGTGCGGTAGCAGAGAGAACAGTCTATGACTAGGGTGGCTGGAGTCTTTGACAATTTTGAGGGCCTTCCTCTGACACCGCCTGGTATAGAGGTCCTGGATGGCAGGAAGCTTGGCCCCAGTGATGTACTGGGCCGTACGCACTACCCTCTGTAGTGCCTTGCGGTCGGAGGCCAAGCAGTTGCCATACCAGGCGGTGATGCAACCAGTCAGGATGCTCTCGATGGTGCAGCTGTAGAATTTTTTGAGGACCCATGCCAAATCTTTTCAGTCTCCTGAGGGGGAATAGGCTTTGTCGTGCCCTCTTCAAGACTGTCTTGGTGTGTTTGGACCATGATAGTTCGTTGGTGATGTGGACATCAACTTGAAGCTCTCAACCTGTTCCACTACAGCCCTGTCGATGAGAATGGGGGTGTGCTCAGTCCTCTTTTTTTTTCCTGTAGTTCACAATCATCTCCTTTGTCTTGGTCACGTTGAGGGAGAGGTTGTTATCCTGGCACCACACGGCCAGGTCTCTGACCTCCTCCCTATAGGCTGTCTCATCGTTATCGGTGATCAAAACTATTGATAGGCGCCCTGCTTCGAACGTCCACACATGACACATTCCAATCCAATATCTGCTTGAGGCACAGAGCACGCTCCTTCTGTTCCATAGATACACAAAAAAACTAAATAAGCCCACTTCTCATTACTCTCATCGACGCCACCTTATCTAACGCATCCGCAATTGTTATAGAGCCTTCAAACGGATCTCCCAGGTAACAACATCGATCCAAAACCCTTACTCCAACCAAAAAATTATCAGAACTAGGTGTGGATTTACTACACTTCACTACCACTTTACTTCTCTTATTTCCTTTTGCATTCTCTACTGTAATCCAATTCTTCTCACTCTCATCTCCACTCGACACGCCATCTGATTTAAACATAACATCCGCTTCCGCCATTTTCCTCCTCCTCCGGCCCTATCCGGGATCCTTGGGACGACCCTACCCGAAACCCGAAACTTAACTCCTAACCATAACCCTTACCTAACCATTTTAAATGAACTTCAATGGGGTAGGGACGTCATAAGGATCCCGGATAGCGAAGACCATTACTATTGCTCTCTATTTAATTGACGATTCGCAGGGGTGCGCCTACACCTGGGCCGCGTTCAGCAGGACACAATGTTTTGGAACGTTAAGATAGAAATATGTAATATAGAACAAACATGCGCCTCCGACATGTAGACCAAGGAATCATTTTTTATTTTTTTATTTTTTTAATGTTGGCTTTATTCCTGGCATTTCTATCTAAAACGTTTGACAACGTGGCCTTGGCATTTTTAGAATTTTGGTAGGGGAGGGGTTAATTTGACCCATAGATGGTGAGAGGATTTCAAAATAAAGGGTGTGCCCAAAAATCACAGGGGTGAACGACTGTCCCCTCTCATTGAAGCCACAAGGTTCAAGGCCGACCGCGGTACTGCAGGCATTGTTTGCAGAAAACAAAATCCACCATTATAGTGAATGGCAGTCTTCGTGTAAATAAATTACAAAATTCAAAGACAATCATGGTACCAATAATTGCATGTATTACACCAGATGAGTGAGAAAGTTACAGATGCACAAATATCATACCCCCAAGACATGCTAACCTCTCACCATTACAATAACAAGGGAGGTTAGCATTTTTGGTGTGTATGTTGCTTGTGCATCTAATTTTCTCACTCATCATTATTCACAATTCATTCAGGATGATCCATAATCATGGTAGCTTCCACATTAATGTAGAAGTGTTTAGAAACATATTCTATTCTTATTTACAATAAAAGTGACTCCAAAATGACACTACACATTATTTACCATTCATTTCTATTGGGAACTAAATCATCTGAAACACAACCAAAACAAACAGCAAATGCATCCAACAAATGTGTAGAGTCACACGTTTGATGTAGTCATTGCGTGCTAGGAATATGGGAACAAATACTTCACTTTTTACTACTTTAATACACATATAAGTGAATTTGTCCCAATACTTTTGCTCCCCTAAAATGGGGGGACTATGTACAAAAAGTGCTGCAATTTCTAAACGGTTCACCCGATATGGATGGAAATACCCCAATTAAAGCTGACAGTCTGCACTTTAACCTCAGTCATTGTTTGATTTAAAATCCAAACTTTTGGAATATAGAGCCGAAAGAAGAAAAAAGGCTTCACTGTCCCAATAATTACGGAGGGCACTGTATGTCCTTGAACCGATTATTAAAAAATTGCACACAGAAGAAGTTATGGGGATCATTTAGTTGCTAATGGAAGCCAACAGTACCCAGGCTGGCCTTCAACTTGAGATACTCAATGAGAGGGGGCAGCTCTGAGCTGGCCTGCAACGTCACTTCCTGGAGTAGCTCAAACTGCTCATGTTATGAGATGCCATCTTAACCGACTTCCTTGGCTTCAAATGCACTATTGAGTCTTCACTTAGGAATGAATGGTGTCACCTGATTGATGACTTTGTACATTCATATTCAGTCATTGTAAACATCTCACCTCTGCCCCTGAACCAAATCCATTAATTCAAGATTTGGTTCTGGGCTACAAATGTTTACAAATGTATAGCTTCAAAATATATTATAAAACTAAAGCATATCATGATGATCTCATTGACTACCAGTACTTGCATGAATAACTGAATGTGTAAGAGGGGTTATACAGTGGGGGAAAAAAGAATTTAGTCAGCCACCAATTGTGCAAGTTCTCCCACTTAAAAAGATGAGAGAGGCCTGTAATTTTCATCATAGGTACACGTCAACTATGACAGACAAATTGAGAAAAAAATTCCAGAAAATCACATTGTAGGATTTTTAATGATTTTATTTGCAAATTATGGTGGAAAATAAGTATTTGGTCACCTACAAACAAGCAAGATTTCTGGCTCTCACAGACCTGTAACTTCTTCTTTAAGAGGCTCCTCTGTCCTCCACTCGTTACCTGTATTAATGGCACCTGTTTGAACTTGTTATAAGTATAAAAGACACCTGTCCACAACCTCAAACAGTCACACTCCAAACCCCACTATGGCCAAGACCAAAGAGCTGTCAAAGGACACCAGAAACAAAATTGTAGACCTGCACCAGGCTGGGAAGACTGAATCTGCAATAGGTAAGCAGCTTGGTTTGAAGAAATCAACTGTGGGAGCAATTATTAGGAAATGGAAGACATACAAGACCACTGATAATCTCCCTCGATCTGGGGCTCCACGCAAGATCTCCCCCCGTGGGGTCAAAATGATCACAAGAACGGTGAGCAAAAATCCCAGAACCACACGGGGGGACCTAGTGAATGACCTGCAGAGAGCTGGGACCAAAGTAACGAAGCCTACCATCAGTAACACACTACGCCGCCAGGGACTCAAATCCTGCAGTGCAAGACGTGTCCCCCTGCTTAAGCCAGTACATGTCCAGGCCCATCTGAAGTTTGCTAGAGTGCATTTGGATGATCCAGAAGAGGATTGGGAGAATGTCATATGGTCAGATGAAACCAAAATATAACTTTTTGGTAAAAACTCAACTCATCGTGTTTGGAGGACAAAGAATGCTGAGTTGCATCCAAAGAACACCATACCTACTGTGAAGCATGGGGGTGGAAACATCATGCTTTGGGGCTGTTTTTCTGCAAAGGGACCAGGACGACTGATACGTGTAAAGGAAATAATGAATGGGACCATGTATCGTGAGATTTTGAGTGAAAACCTCCTTCCATCAGCAAGGGCATTGAAGATGAAACATGGCTGGGTCTTTCAGCATGACAATGATCCCAGAAACACCGCCCGGGCAACGAAGGAGTGGCTTCGTAAGAAGCATTTCAAGGTCCTGGAGTGGCCTAGCCAGTCTCCAGATCTCAACCCCATAGAAAATCTTTGGAGGGAGTTGAAAGTCTGTGTTGCCCAGCGACAGCCCCAAAACATCACTGCTCTAGAGGAGATCTTCATGGAGGAATGGGCCAAAATACCAGCAACAGTGTGTGAAAACCTTGTGAAGACTTCCAGAAAACGTTTGACCTGTGTCATTGCCAACAAAGGGTATATAACAAAGTATTGAGAAACTTTTGTTATTGACCAAATACTTATTTTTCACCATAATTTGCAAATAAATTCATTAAAAATCCTACAATGTGATTTTCTGGATTTTTTTTCTCATTTTGTCTGTCATAGTTGACGTGTACCTATGATGAAAATTACAGGCCTCTCTCATCTTTTTAAGTGGGAGAACTTGCACAATTGGTGGCTGACTAAATACTTTTTTCCCCCACTGTATTTCCCCAGCCCCATCCCTTACCTTACCAAACAAAGTGGCAGGGTCCGGCTGTTGAAATTGCAGATTTTTCCATGTAGTTGACGGAACCTGTTTTTCCTCTTGTTATTTTAGTAAGTTTTCCCTAGCCCAGTGATGTCAGCCCCTAACTCAAACCAGAGAAAAGCATGCTGGGGTGCTAGGGATGAGCTGTGGAAGTGCCTTGATGATAACCATGACAATGCCTCCTCCTGTGAGAAGTTCCAGAAAGAGTTTGAGGCGAGCTGTCCTGCTCAGTGGGTGAGTCTCCCTGTCTGGCCTTAGTCTAGCTATAACCTATCTGTTACTCTGTTGACAATGACAGTCTATCATAGAGGTAGCCAGAGAGATCGTCTAGATCTACAATGTTTGTATATAAAGACCTGCTTCTATTCATGGTCTAATGTTCTTATTACTGACTTTGATGTAGCTACAGTAGTAAACTCAATGTGGTCACCAACCCTGGTCCTGCTCAAATACATCCTATCTCACATTGATCCTGACAGGTGAAATACTTCACCAAGAGGAGAGACTTCTTGAAGTATAAGGAGAAGATGCAGACGGAGGGCTTTGAGCCTGCTGACGGGCCTAAACAGTCACAGTCCTAGCCAGTAGCCACTGGTCAGAAGACTGAGAGGAGGACTTCCTGGGGCCTCCTGGTTAAGGATGGACAGCAGTGGACTGTCACTGGACACTAGAGCACAATCCTGCTATGCCTCCCAAAGACGACAGATGCTGGAGGTCAGTGACCTCACACCTGGACCTGGACACTCTGGTTAGATGTCACCTACGGGCCACAGTCAGATTCTCAAGCTTCTCCCCAAGTGTGCACTTGTCTTGTTCATTCCTTGCCTCAGACTAGTGACCATACCTACGTCACACATGGCCAGGTGTGTGGTGATGTAACCACGGTGACTGCTGTGGAAAGTGCACCCAACGCACTCACGGTTCTACAGGCTTCCTCTGTATCCCTCTCTGCTCTCTCAATACAACATCAAGTGGTTGTATGTGGTGTGACAATGCTTTTATTTGACATATAACTGAACAAATCAACTGCTTCGTGACTGTTAGTCTAACCACTGAATCATTTATTATTTATGCTATTGTCAAAGATAGATGCAGATATTGTTCTTTATTCATGAATAGACAGTGTGACATATTATATGCATGTGATTTGTTGTGATTGATAAATAAAGATGACTCAATGGTTCAGTGTTATTTTATTATTTTATAACAATTGTGTTACGTTTCCATGAATCTAGGCCTATTCTATGAGTAAGTTGAATGAGTGTAACAACTACATTAATGTTATTCATGAATGTTACAGTTCATTGGATTGGTTTGACAGTACAAGGCACATTTCTTTTATATTACAAGTAGGCATGTATTTACAAAGGTTCTATATCCGTCTTCTAAAACAACACCAAAGTATGAAAACTTGTGCAACATCGAATAAATTATAAACAGAGATGTAGGATTTAGATTGCGTAATGTGCCTACATTCTGTAAAGGCCGACATTCTCATGATGACAGTGAATAAAGTACAAAAAGGCACACAATTACATTTGAATTTGTTCAAAAATATAAAGCATTTTATAAAAGTCATATGGTGTACAACAATGTACACTCAGCTCTGTAGTCATAGCGACAGACAGCTCTCATGATTTGGCTGTTGATTGGAGAGGCACTTTACTCTGCAGTTTTCTCTCTGGTCTCTATTGTGTCTGACATGACACCCTATTCCCTATGGCTCTGATCAAAAGTAGTGCACTATATAGGGAATTTCAGCACACTGACAGTAGGGACCCAGTATGTAACACCATGAAGACTGTATACTACTGTAAATATAGAGTATAATTCTAATAAGTGTCACATGCATAGAAATAGTGTTTTTGTGGTTATTGTGCTAGCTAAACCTATAGGAATATTTTGTATGACATATAGTATTCTGTGTCTCGTTGTAATAATGTGTAAACCCATCTGCGAATCAATGTTTTTTTTGTGGGCTATGGGGTGGAGAGATTAGAAAACAATCTATAAAAGTAACATTTACGGCAACATACAGTAATATGAAGTAAAAGGCAATATGATCCATTGACTTGAGTCAGTCCATTCCATTCACCTCATACAGTGTAGGCTACTATGGCTGCGTTAACACAGGCAGCCCAATTCTGATATTTTGTGCAATTATTGGCAAAATATCCGATCTGATTGGTGAAAATACCAATTAGTGGTAAAAAAAAATCTGAATTGGGCCGCCTATGAAAACGCAGCCTCTGCGTTTCCTCCCTTGTGGTGCTTCTTTCCTTCCACTTTCCTTCCCCAACCTGCCCGATTCTCAGACGTTACCAGCCAGGTTGAAGGAATAAGCCTCAGTCCCTTTCAATTTGGCATTTACAGTAAAAGAGACGGCGAGTGGGTCTCTGTTTTGAGACCTCTTCAGCATTATTCCGCTCTCTGCCTCTCTCTCTCTCTCTCTCTGCGTGACTGTCTGCACTCTCTCGCACCCCCGCGTGGTTATAAGCTGCCAGTGACGTTCCTGGCGATGGCCCAGTCTGGGAACTCAGTCAGGTTGAAGAGGGGCACGCCCCAGGTCATTATGGCCAGCATCACCACTAGAACCCCAATCAGATTCACCCCAAAACCTGCCTTCACCTGAGACAGACAACAACAACACTGGGTAAGAAAGATGTACTTGTTCTCTCACTTATCATTAAAGAGCTACAGTATGTAGTTTAGCCTGGGTGTTATATTTAGGGCCCTGTGTTTTGTGCAATCATGTGACATAGCAAGTTATCTTATTTCTCATGTTTTCTTTATTATATATATTTGTATTAGTTATACTATTTTGATATTGATTACTGCACTGTTGGGTAGCACTTGCAAGTTAAGCATTTCACTGTAGTTGTGCATGTGACAATAAAACTTGAAACTTGCATTTATCCAGAAATGATGAATTACACCAAACATGAAAGCAATTGTCTGAGTATGGTACTGGACCATCTGACAATCAAAAGGAAAGGGGAACACTGATGAAAAAGCTTTAAATAAAAGGTTAAAATCCAGGCATGTCACATGATTGCGCAAAACCCAGGGCTCTAGTTATAGTGACTGATTGCTGCTCATTAAAAGGTATTACGACTATTAAATAAATCTGTTATAATCTTGTATAATAGGACTGTTACATAAAAATGTCATAATTGAGTGTTTTTGCAACAACAGCCTTTGATTCTGCTTGGCACTGTGCTGTCCCGTCCCAGTGGGGTTTGTGCTTATGTGTTTGTGTTTGTGTCTCACCATGTCGCTGATCTGCACGTGTCCGTAACTGAACACTATGGCGTTGGGGGGGTTCCCGACGGGCAGCATGACCCCAAATGACACACACATGGTGGCGGGGATGAGTGTGTGGAGGGGGTTGATCTGCAGGGTCTCCGACTGAGCGAGAAAGAGAACAGAGGTCACCATTACTGAGTGTCAAAGGAACAGGGTGTCTCTCTGACTGCTTTCAATAATATTGACAGTGGCACAGAGGGAGGAGTCGAGCAGATGGCTGTGTTGATGGTGAGAGAGGAGAGTAGAAGTGTGTAGGCTATTTGAGGACACTAAGAATCAAGTGGAGAAATTGAAGGATGGGGCTTAGGTTCTTCTTCATGGGCTCTCAGGGTTAGAAGAGAGAATAGACAACGAATGTGGTTCTCTCTGGAGCAGAGTGTATAAACACAGTGTGGTTCTTACCAGAGACGATCGAGAGGATAGGTAGAGAAGACTGACAGAGAATGACTGTTGTTATTCTTACCAGTGCAGAGAGGATAGGTAGAGAAGACTGACAGAGAATGACTGTTGTTATTCTTACCAGTGCAGAGAGGATAGGTAGAGAAGACTGACAGAGAATGACTGTTGTTATTCTTACCAGTGCAGACAGGATAGGTAGGAACACGGTGAGAGTGGCGGGGTTGCTGGCGAACTCTGTAACCGCAGAGACGAGCAGGCAGGCCAGCAGCGTGACCATCCACGGGGGGAGACCACTCATCGGCTCCAGCTGTCTGCCTATCCACACACTCAGCCCCGAAACCTGAACACACACACACACACACGACCAGACACACACACACCACATGATCAGACACCACGCTGAGTTGTCTTTGATGTATGTAATATAGATTGTGTCACGATTTCCGCCGAGGCTGCCCCCCCTCCTGGTTCGGGCAGGCTTCGGCGTTCGTCGTCACCGGAGTACTAGCTACTGTTGATCCCATTCTCATCACTCCACTTGTCATGTCTTGTCAATCACACACATCTAGTGCTCATTCCCCTAATTAGTATGTGTATAAGTGTTCCCTCTGTTCCCCTTGTCTTTGTGAGTGATTGTTTTGTTGTGAGAGCGTGTAGCTCGGTTGAGCTACATTTCACTGTGTTATTGCCAAGATGGATGTTTTCCCTAGTACAGTTTTGTTTGACGCTTGGGGCGTTTGATTTATGCAAATAGTGTGTGATTATAGATGTATTCTCATAACTCACATACCCAGGGCCTACTTTGGGTCCCGAACTATAGTTTAAGAAACCCTGGTAGTGTATATAGCCTATTATCCATTTCAGAGCTCTTGTATGTCACCTTGAATTAAGCTGTTGAGTTTTAATCCTAAGAAATCTGCCCTGTGGTGAGTAGCCTACATGTTGTTTGTACAGTAGTACAGTTTATAACCTGTTACCTTGCAGCCAGCAGCCAAGGCGTAGCCCCCTCCCACCAGGATGACGATCTCCCAGGGCATGAGATTCTGGAAGTCCTTCCAGGTGATCATGGGGGCCAGGGGGTCTGGGTCTCTCTCTGAGGAACCTTCCCCTGCGGGGGTGCTGGGGGCCCGAGAGAAGGGCCGACGGGCCGGGATGAGGAAAAGCAGGAAGCCCAACAGCACAGAGACAGTGGCGTCGGTCCTGTAGCCTTTCCTGCGGGAACAAAACACAACATTAAACAACACCGTTTTTTAAATTTAACATTCATTATTCAAGGTTAGTCTCAATGAGATAGACTGCATTTAAAATAGCACCCTATTCCCTTAATAGTGTGCCATTTTCCCCCCTTTTATAGTGCACTACCAAAAGGTAGCTACGTACTTCTCGAACAGCGACGTCCACCCGGGTACGAAGCCTGGTTCTCTGGTGAACCACAGCAGAGTCATCAGTATGAAGAACACTCCTGTCACCACCTCTGGATAGCTACAGCACAGGAAAAACAACACACAGGTCAGTTTTATTGTTTTCATTCAGCTTTTGGGCCATCAATTAGTCCTCAAATATGATTATACAGCTAGCCTCTCGAGTCTAAAAATCACCTGATAGGCCCAAGCTTTATGTACTCGTCGTGGATCCTCCTCTCTGACAGCATCTCTCTCCTTGTCTTACGCTTTTTACTCAACGAGCATGTCTCCCTGAAACTGGACACATAACAACACAGTAAGGTCATATCACAGAGATACCTCCACAATGTGTGTGTGTGTGTCTCTGTGTGTGTGTTCCTGTGTGCGTGTCTTCCTCCATTTCACATGCATGCGAGGTGCTTACTTGCAGCCAAGGAAGAGGAAGTGCAGCCAGACCCAGGTCAGCAGCAGCA